TAATAGCGCACAAAATGCGTGCTAAAGGAATAACAGGAAAAGTCGGTCGATGGATCTATAATTTCCTCACTAACAGAACACAGAGAGTAGTCGTCAACAGAGTAAAGTCCGAGGCAGCTACGGTGAAAAGCTCTGTTCCACAAGGCACAGTACTCGCTCCCATCTTGTTCCTCATCCTCATATCCGACATAGACAAGGATGTCAGCCACAGCACCGTGTCTTCCTTTGCAGATGACACCCGAATCTGCATGACAGTGTCTTCCATTGCAGACACTGCAAGGCTCCAGGCGGACATCAACCAAATCTTTCAGTGGGCTGCAGAAAACAATATGAAGTTCAACGATGAGAAATTTCAATTACTCAGATATGGTAAACATGAGGAAATTAAATCTTCATCAGAGTACAAAACAAATTCTGGCCACAAAATAGAGCGAAACACCAACGTCAAAGACCTGGGAGTGATCATGTCGGAGGATCTCACCTTCAAGGACCATAACATTGTATCAATCGCATCTGCTAGAAAATGAGAGGATGGATAATGAGAACCTTCAAAACTAGGGATGCCAAGCCATGATGACACTCTTCAGGTCACTTGTTCTATCTAGGCTGGAATATTGCTGCACACTAACAGCACCTTTCAAGGCAGGTGAAATTGCCGACCTAGAAAATGTACAGAGAACTTTCACGGCGCGCATAACGGAGATAAAACACCTCAATTACTGGGAGCGCTTGAGGTTCCTAAACCTGTATTCCCTGGAACGCAGGAGGGAGAGATACATGATTAAATACACCTGGAAAATCCTAGAGGAACTAGTACCGAACTTGCACACGAAAATCACTCGCTACGAAAGCAAAAGACTTGGCAGACGATGCACCATCCCCCCAATGAAAAGCAGGGGTGTCACTAGCACGTTAAGAGACCATACAATAAGTGTCAGGGGCCCGAGACTGTTCAACTGCCTCCCAGCACACATAAGGGGGATTACCAACAGACCCCTGGCAGTCTTCAAGCTGGCACTGGACAAGCACCTAAAGTCAGTTCCTGATCAGCCGGGCTGTGGCTCGTACGTTGGTTTGCGTGCAGCCAGCAGCAACAGCCTGGTTGATCAGGCTCTGATCCACCAGGAGGCCTAGTCACAGACCGGGCCGCGGGGGCGTTGACCCCCGGAACTCTCTCCAGGTAAACTCCAGGTAAACACCCTAGTATCACAGCATCACTAGTATCGCAGCATCACAAGTATCACAGCAGCATCAGAAGTATCACAGCATCACCCTAGTATCACACCATCACTAGTATCGCAGTATAACAAGTATCACAGCATCACCCTAGTATCACAGCATCACTCTTGTATCGCAGCATCACTAATATCACAGCATCATTAGTATCATAGAATCACTAGTGTTACAGCAACACTAGAATCACAGCATCGCTAGTATCACAGCATCACTAGTATCACAACATCACCAGTATCACAGTACCACTAGTATCGCAGCATCACTAGTATCATAACATCACTAGTATCACAGCATCACTAGTATCGCAGCATCACTAGTATCACAACATCACTAGTATCACAGCGTCAGTAGTATCGCAGCATCGCTAGTATCATAGCATACTAGTATCGCAGCATCACTAGTATCGCAGAATCACTAGTATCACAGCATCACTAGTATCACAGTACTAGTATCGCAGCATCACTAGTATCAAAGCATCACTAGTGTCACAGCATCACTAGTATCGCAGCATCGCTAGTATCACAGCACCACTAGTATCGCAGCATCACTCTAGTATCACAGCATCACCCTAGTATCACACCATCACTAGTATCGCAGCATCACTAGCATCACACCATCACTAGTATTAGAGCATCACTAGTATCAGAGCATCACTAGTATCAGAGCATCACTAGTATCACAGCATCACTAGTGTCACAGCATCATTAGTATCACAGCATCACTAGTATCACAGCATCACATTAATATTACAGCATCACTAGTGTCACAGCATCACTAGTATCACAGCATCACTAGTATCGTAGCATCACTAGTATCGCAGCATCACTAGTATCGCAGCATCACTAGTATCGCAGAATCACTAGTATCACAGCATCACTAGTATCACAGTACTACTAGTATCGCAGCCTCACTAGTATCGCAGCATCACTAGTGTCACAGCATCACTAGTATCGCAGCATCGCTAGTATCACAGCACCACTAGTATCGCAGCATCACTCTAGTATCACAGCATCACCCTAGTATCACACCATCACTAGTATCGCAGCATCACTAGCATCACACCATCACTAGTATTAGAGCATCACTAGTATCAGAGCATCACTAGTATCAGAGCAACACTAGCATCAGAGCATCACTAGTATCAGAGCATCACTAGTATCAGAGCATCACTAGTATCACAGCATCACTAGTATCGCTGCATCTTTCTAGTATCGCCGCATCATTCTAGTATCGCCGCATCATTCTAGTATCGCCGCATCATTCTAGTATCAGAGCATCACTAGTATCACAGCATCACTAGTGTCACAGCATCATTAGTATCACAGCATCACTAGTATCACAGCATCACATTAATATTACAGCATCACTAGTATCACAGCATCACTAGTATCACAGCATCACTAGTATCACAGCATCACTAGTATCGTAGCATCACTAGTATCGCAGCATCACTAGTATCACAGCATCACTAGTATCACAGTACCACTAATATCGCAGCATCACTAGTATCACAGCATCACTAGTATCACAGCATCACTAGTATCACAGCATCACTAGTATCGCAGTATCGCTAGTATCACAGCATCACTAGTATCGCAGCATCACAAGTATCACAGCATCACTAGTATCAAAGCATTGCTTATCACAGCATGACTCTAGTATCCCAGCATCACCCTAGTATCACAGCATCACTAGTTTCGCAGCATCACTAGCATCACACCATCACTAGTATCACAGCATCACTAGTATCAGAGCATCACTAGCATCACAGCATCACTAATATCGCTGCATCTTTCTAGTATTGCCACATCATTGTAGTATCGCAGCATCACCAGTATCACAGCATCATTAGTATCACAGCATCATTAGTATCACAGCATCATTAGTATCACAGCATCACTAGTATCACAGCATCACTCTAGTATTACAGCATCACTAGTATCATAGCATCACTAATACCACAGCATCACTAGTATCACAGCATCACTCTAGTATTACAGCATCATTAGTATCACAGCATCACTAGTATCACAGCATCACTAGTATAGTAGCATCACTAGTATTGCAGCATCACTAGTATCACAGCATCACTAGTATCACAGTACCACTAGTATCGCAGCATCACTAGTATCACAGCATCACTAGTATCACAGCATCACTAGTATCGTAGCATCGCTAGTATCACAGCATCACTAATATCGCAGCATCACTAGTATCACACCATCACTCTAGTATCACAGCATCACTAGTATCGCAGCATCACTAGTATCAAAGCATTACTTATCACAGCATCAATCTAGTATCCCAGCATCACCCTAGTATCACAGCATACCTGGAGGTTACCTGGAGGTTATTCCGGGGATCAACGCCCCCGCGGCCCGGTCCACGACCAGGCCTCCCGATGGATCAGGGCCTGATCAACTAGGCTGTTACTGCTGGCCGCACGCAGTCCGACGTACGAGCCACAGCCCGGCTGATCCGGCACTGACTTTAGGTATCTGTCCAGCTCTCTCTTGAAGGCAGCCAGGGGTTTATTGGCAATTCCCCTAATGCTTGATGGGAGGCTGTTGAACAGTTTTGGGCCCCGGACACTTATGGTGTTTTCTCTTAGTGTACCAATGGCGCCCCTACTTTTTATTGGCGGCATTTTGCATCGCCTGCCCAGTCTTTTACTTTCGTAGGGAGTGATTTCTGTGTGCAGATTTGGGACCATTCCTTCCAAGATTTTCCAAGTGTAGATTATGATATATCTCTCCCTCCTGCGTTCCAACGAGTACAAGTCAAGTGCTTTCAAGCGTTCCCAGTAGTTAAGGTGCTTGACAGAACTTATACGTGCAGTAAAGGATCTCTGTACACTCTCTAGATCTGCGATTTCACCTGCTTTGTATGGAGATGTTAATGTACAGCAGTATTCCAGCCTAGAGAGAACAAGTGATTTGAAAAGGATCATCATGGGCTTGGCATCTCTCGTTTTGAAAGTTCGCAGCATCACTAGTATCACACCATCGCTAGTATCACAGCAACACTAGTATCACAGCGTCAGATCCCATTACCTTAGTGCAACAATCCAGTAACGTCACAGCATCAGTATAGCTCTGTCAGGAGAGCATCCGTGCATCACAACTCGAGAGAAAGCATCTAGTATTACAGCACAACAACTCAGCATCACATCCTTACCAGCATCGTTCCATAAGCACACAAGAACAGCATTGCTGAGAGATTGGATATCAGTACACAAGAGCAGTTTGCTGACAAACGGTATACCGGGGAAATAAATTTCTTGAGAGGGACTAAATGACAACTTGTTCTGAGATGGGAAGCTTATCCCAGCCCTCAGCGGTGACGATCAGCTCCAAGGCAAGCCAGGCAGCGCCTTAAGCCATTTTGTTCAGTGTTATTTGATATAACAATGTACCAAAGTCCTTTCGGCCAATGACATGATTATGTAGCAAAAAAAAAAAAAAAACAGGAACAGTGTTTGAGGTTATTATCCTGATAATACGGGTTCTTTACATCACAGTGCATGGGTGAGTTTACCCCTGGATGCTCCTGCCAGACTTACGAAGCATCTTCTTACATGCAAAGAAGTGTTTTGTCAGAATGTAGTTAAACGCGCTTTATAAACGATAGACAAACTCATTTCGCACTGAAGCAAAATATGTAGGAATGGTTTATTTTTAATTAGGCATTCCGCTACTTCCGTACGAGAGTTTAAATCAGAGAGGCATCAGAGAATTGGCGACGCCTTGCCAGTGAGTGAGAACACGTCGGTGGGGGAAGATATTAGACGTGTCTCTCTCCCAGGCAATAGCGTGTGGAGGGATACAAAGCTTTAATGTGGATATTGATAGATTTCCGGTAACTGACGGGATTTTTGTGGTTATTTATTAGATTGCAAAGAAGTGGAGAAAGTAGCGAAGGTGATAGATGTACGTTGAGAAGCTTGGTGTCTTTTTGCTGTGTTGTTGTCAGCTGTGAAGTGCTGTGTGGGTTACAGAAGCCATACAGGAGGTGGGTGGTCAGTAGCAGAGATAAGAGGAAGCTTCAGCATCCAAGTGTAAGCTTCAGCACCCAGGTGTAAGTTTGAGCATCCAGGTGCAAGCTTCAGCGTCCAGGTGTAAACTACAGCGTCTGTGTGAAAGCTTTACCCCAAGTGTGTAAGCTTCAATATCCCGGAGGAAGCTTCAGCATCCAGGTGTAAGCTTCAGCGTCCAGGTGTAAGCTTCAGCATCCAGGTGTAAGCTTCAGCAATCAGGTGTAAGCTTCAGCAACCAGGCGTAAACCTTCCGCTCACAGGCTTTAGCTCGCAAGTGTAAGCTTGGGCCTTAGGTGTAAGTTTCAGCCCCAGGTGTAAGCGTGAACCTCAGGCGTGAACTTCATCCCCAGGTGTAAGCTTGAGAGCCTCTGATGTAAGCTTCTGTACCAGGTAGAAGTTTCGTCCCTCAGGCGTAAGCCTCAATCCCAGGTGTAAGTTTCAGCTCCCAGGTGTAAACTAGAACTCCAGGTGCAAGTTTCATCATCCAGGTGTAAGCTTCAGCTCCCAGGTGTAAGCTTCCCCAGGTATAAGCTAATATAGAACCCGGTGTAAATAAAGCTGTCGCAGTGGTACTCATGTGAAAGATTTTGTGTAAGGTTTGAAATCAAAGTGTAGTTAGTGAATTGTGTGGAGGTGGCTAGTAGTGTATCACGGGGGGCGTTGCAGACCCCGCCCATGGCTCTCGTGGGCACACGGTCCAGTAGTGGGCGGCAGCACATGATGGCGGGCGTGGGGGAGAGAGGTGTGGGCGTGGTGCCTCCTACCCATAACGCCGCTATCTTAGCCGCTGCTCAGCCTAGTTATTACGCCCATTTGGACCCACGAGGAGGGGCGCCCCAGGCCAGCACGGGCGTGGGCGCCATACACACTCACCACCCACATCTCAGGAGTAGTAGCTCCACCGCCCAGCAGCAACAGCCCACACAGCAGGGTGGCGCGGGCGGTGTGGGCGGCCAGCAGCAGCAACCTCATCATGGACAGACACCTACGCCCTCGCCCACAAACAGCAGCGAAGTCACACCAGACAGACCCATCGGTTACGGCGCCTTCGGCGTTGTATGGTGAGTACATGCCACTCCCTTGTGTTGCAGATAATGTCCACTCTTTGTTTTGTTGCATGGCGAGTACTGCCCACCGCCTTGTTCTTTGTTGGATGGATGAGTAGTCCCGCCACTGCCCACCCTAATACTTACCCACCAACAGGTAACCCAGGCTTGTAAACAAATCAAGAGTGATGGTATCAAGCAGTGTAAATAACCGACATTGCTTGTCACTGGAGTTATCCTATGTTAAATCTACATAATATATAATTTTTGTGCCAGTAACGGGTGCCCTCAAGACCACTGCATTTTTTTATATTATCTACATAATCCTAAATGAAAAGTTACCTTTGAGCAGTAGGGGTAAGATGTTATTGGAGAAGAGACTGGTGTGGGGTAGTGTTAGGTAGCGTGCTGGGGTGGTGGGTCTGGGCCTCACACGTGTTGGCTCACTCGGGAGCTTTGTTCTCCAGTGTACCTTGCCCGCTCTACGACCATACGCTACAGAATTATACCAACATCCTAAATTATTAATAAAAAAAACATTACCGCGGTAGTAACTTTCAGATAGCCCACAAATTAGATATAAACGTTGGAATTACGCTTATCTATCCTAATCCCATATGCATAGACTATACACGATAGATTTACAGATCTCTGCTGTTTTTTCCCATGTACTTCCATGTTTGTAGATGAATGGTTCAGAGAACCGACAAGTTCATAAATTAGACACATGTGCAACACTTGGGTATCTTTATTGAGGAAACGTTTCGCCACACAGTGGCTTCATCAGTCCATACAAAGGAGAGCGTTGAAGAACAGGAGTTTGAAGTAATCAGTCCCTCAGCCTTGAGTCGATGTGGTCAGTCCATAAATCTTGAAAAGAATACAGCATATGTTAGGTTAGGTTAGATAAGGTTTGTCAGGAAACAGGACAAATGTTTCCTGACGCGGGTCTTAGATGATGACCCGCCTTTGGAGCTTTGGTCATCTGACCGAGGCCTTCCGCTGGCTTACCGGTCCACCCCCTTTAAAAATTATGGTCATTTATAACCATTATTATCAGTAATTACAGCATATGTGCGAAGAAGTAGCTTATATACCATAGGCAAGAGAGGTGACTGATTACCTCAAACTCCTGTTCTTCAACGCTCTCCTTTGTATGGATTGATGAAGCCACTGTGTGGCGAAACGTTTCCTCAATAAAGATACCCAAGTGTTGCACATGTCTAATTTATCTACTTCTGTTTTTGAGAACACGCCGTGCTTGACCAGACCTTAGTTTTCTTCTCACCTCCCACTGCCCCAACCATACTAGACTTTTTTTTTCCTTTTAGTGCGCTACCAGGTAATGTTTCAAGGTGGATCGAAACGTCGTCCAATTTTCTTTTCTAAATTGTAGGTTAATTGTAAAATCCGTAAATCAACAGCACTACTCGAAATCTGAAATACTAATCGTTTATTAGTGAATTTGGGCAGCGGAAAGTAGAATCTATCCTGTAAAAGTGGGACACTTTGACTTTAAATCATTCACAATTTTTTCGTGTGTAAATCTAATTACTGGATATAAGTAATCAATCCTTCAGCCTGATGATGTGTTCAGTCCATCTATCTTGATAAAAAAGTGATGAAGCCACTGGCTGGTGAAACGCTTTCACAATAAAGATACCCAAATGTTTCATTGATCAACCTGTCAGATGTTAGGTTAGGTTAGGTTAGGCTTTTTTATCCCTTGTATACAACACCGACAGGAAAATGAATTAGACACATGTGCAATATCTGGGTGAACATCAGAATGGTATACAATACCGACAGGTTGTTAGGTAAGACACATATGCAACAGTTAGACAACTTTATTCCGAAACGTTTCGCCTACACAGTAGGCTTCTTCAGTCGAATACAGAAAATAAGGCAGGAACAATAGAGATGTGAAGACGATGTAATCAGTCCATCACCCTTGTAGTTGTAGAATTTGAGGTTGTCAGTCCCTCGGCCTGGAGAAGTTCAGTTCCATAGTCAGGAACTATCTGAAGATCAAGCGACAGTGCGGAGACTTAAATACTGTCAGAAGGAGAGGTGCAGAGTAGTAGTAGTAGTAGTAGTAGTGAGAATGTAACCACTGAGAGGGACATGACCTCTCAGTGGTTACATTAAGAACATAAGAACATAAGAACGAAGGAACACTGCAGAAGGCCTACTGGCCCATGCGAGGCAGGTCCAAGTCTCCTACCGGCTTAAGCCAATGCACCCAACCTAGTCAGGTCAGGTCACACTGACTTAAGGGAGGAACACGGCAACCGACCTGGTAGCACAAGCTATCAGGTCTAACTCACACCCACCCACATCTACTCATGTATTTATCCAACCTATTTTTAAAGCTACACAACGTTCCGGCCTCTATAACGGTACTCGGGAGCTTGTTCCACTCATCCACAACTCTATTACCAAACCAGTACTTTCCTATATCCCTCCTGAATCTGAATTTTTCCAACTTAAAACCATTGCTGCGAGTCCTGTCTAGGCTAGATATTTTCAGCACACTATTTACATCCCCTTTATTTATTCCTGTCTTCCATTTATACACCTCAATCATATCCCCCTAATTCTACGTCTTTCTAGAGAGTGCGTTTTAGGGCCCTTAGTCTATCCTCATAGGGAAGGTTTCTGATACATGGGATCATCTTTGTCATCCTCCTTTGTACATTTTCCAGAGAATTTATATCCATTCTGTAATACGGTGACCAAAACTGTGCAGCATAATCTAAATGAGGCCTAACCAAGGATGTATAGAGTTGAAGAACAACCTGAGGACTCCTATTATTTATGCTTCTTGATATGAAGCCAAGGATTCTATTAGCTTTATTGCGAACACTTATGCACTGTTGTCTTGGTTTCAGATTACTGCTAACCAGAACTCCTAAATCTTTTTCGCAATCCGTAATATTAAGATCTACATTATTTAGTTTATATGTGGCATGGTTATTGTCCTGTCCAACATTTAGAACTTTGCATTTGTCTATATTAAACTGCATCTGCCACTTCTCCGACCACTGCATCAGTCTATTCAAATCCTCCTGGAGTGCTCGAATGTCCTCGTCAGAATGAATTCGACGGCCTATTTTGGTGTCATCGGCAAACTTGCCGATGTCGCTCTTTATGCCCTCATCTATGTCGTTTATGTAGATTGTGAACAGCAGGGGGCCCAACACTGACCCCTGTGGAACACCGCTCGTGACGCTTCCCCACTCTGATTTCTCCCCATTTATGCAAACTCTCTGCTGCCTATTTGTCAACCATGCCTCTATCCAGGAAAAAATTTCTCCTCCTATTCCATGTGCTTTAATTTTCCTCAATAGTCTCTGATGTGGGACCCTGTCAAAAGCCTTACTGAAGTCCATATACACAATATCATATTCATTACCATGATCTACCTCCTCAAATACCTTAGTGAAAAAAGTTAATAAATTCGTAAGGCAGGAACGCCCCTTTGTAAAACCATGCTGAGATTCGTTGATTAATTTATGCTTTTCAAGGTGGCTACGAACTGCCTCGGCAATTATTGATTCCATAAATTTTCCCACTATGGAGGTTAGGCTTATTGGTCTATAGTTCGAAGCTAAGGACCTGTCACCTGTTTTGAAAATAGGTATCACATTTGCCATTTTCCACTTATCTGGCACCATGCCAGTTTGTAGTGATATGTTGAAAAGATTAGCCAAAGGCGTGCTAAGCTCCTCTTTACATTCCTTTAGAACCCTTGCATACAGTTCATCAGGGCCTGGGGATTTGTTAGGTTTTAATTTATCTATTTGCCTAAGGACCATGTCACTTGTGACCCTAATAGTGCACAGTTTATTATCGTCCTGTTCTACATAATTTATCATTACTGGAATATCGCTGGTATCCTCCTGTGTAAAAACTGAGAGGAAGTATGTGTTAAAAATTCTACACATTTCCTTATCACTGTCAGTGAGCTGACCCGAGGAACTTTTGAGTGGGCCTATCTTGTCCCTGATCTTACTTCTGTATACCTGAAAGAATCCTTTTGGGTTAGTCTTCGATTCTCTTGCAACTTTAACCTCATAATCTCTATTTGCTTTTCTAATTCCCTTTTTTATTTCTCTCTTTAACTGAATATATCGATTTTCTCTCTTTAACTGAATATATCACTACTACTACTACTACTACTACTACTACTACTACTACTACTACTACTACTACTACTACTACTACTACTACTACTACTCTGCACCTCTCCTTCCGACAGTATTTAAGTCTCCGCACTGTCGCTTGATCTTCAGATAGTTCCTGACTATGGAACTGAACTTCTCCAGGCCGAGGGACTGACAACCTCAAATTCTACAACTACAAGGGTGATGGACTGATTACATCGTCTTCACATCTCTACTGTTCCTGCCTATTTTCTGTATTCGACTGAAGAAGCCTACTGTGTAGGCGAAACGTTTCGGAATAAAGTTGTCTAACTGTTGCATGTGTCTTACCTAACAATATCTGGGTATCTTTACTTTGTAGACGTTTCGCCATCCAGTGGCTTTATCAGCGCAATACATGGACATAATCTGAAAACTATAGAAATAAGTACAGAAGACGGGGTAATCAACCCCTCACCCTAGAAGCAAGTGATGAGCATCGTAGTTTTGAAGAATCTGAAGCATAGGCAGGAAGAATGACGCTATGGGAGTCATATGAGGGGCAGCAGACGAGGGTATTGTCACTGGTCGGCGGGATTCCCCATTTCATAAAATGGCTATTAGTGTTCCGGTGTTGCACATATGCATTGTGTAACTTGATTAATGAGACATGTGCAACACTTAAATATCTTTATAATGGTAATGTTTCGTCAGCTAGCGGCTACCTCAGTCCAGTGCAGAGAAGAATTCCTGAACTGATCACATCGACTCCAGGCTGAGGGACTGATTACCTCAAACTCACTCTGATCTACCATTTTTCTCTGTATTGGACTGGGGAAGCCATTGGCATCTGCACGTGTAGATGTGTTC